GCAGCACATACTGTCTAGCCTTTGCATAGTGAAAATGGTGCTCCATTTTATTCCTATCACCTTCTTCATAGCTAACACATAAAATTCCAGAAACCCACTAAGTCTTCTTACCAGTTCCTAGAATGTGCTTTTGAAAAAATCTAATACTAAAACCCCTTCACATAAAATTCCCATTCAGCTGTTTTCTGTATCCTATTGATACCTCTTCTACTGCTTCATCTCATCTCTTCAAATCATTTGGCAAAAATTACTTTCCCTAAAATCCAGATCTTCATTTTCAGAAACTTATACATATCATAATAGAATAAAACTATTCAGTAAAATGTGCATGATTCTGCTCAAATTAATGCTGTCCTTGGGTGTGAACTTTTCCCCTAAAAGTTTGTCAAAGAAAAATCCCAGTCAAGTCAAGCTTTAAATTCCTCCCCTACATTTTCCTTTTTTCTTCATATTATCCAGTTCTCCCTTCGTTGCCCATAGTAAACATAAATGAGGCAAGCCAGTCATTATCTCACTACTTTTGTTATCTTTCAACTACTTCTGCACTATCTGAATGACTCTTTATTTCAAGAACATTTGTAAACTAACCTTAAAACCTCAGAACAAGTTTAGAATCCTTTCTACAACACAGTATTAACAAATCAAAAGACTGAGTTTTGTTTTACTATTTTCAAGTGACTATTGGTGTCAAAAAATGCACTATAGTCAAAAGACAATAACTTTCTCCAAATTTCTCCTCAAATGTTTTACTTTCATATTACAGTTAACGTCAGATTCCAAGGCAATGTTCTAAATTTTTCATTGTTTTTAACAAAAACATCTGACTCAGTCCTATTGTTGTCATAGATGGTATTTCATGAATAAGAATGTTCTCCTCAGAATTCCCATACCTGCACATCATAGCTACATCTCCCCTAAAAAGAAATTAACAAAACTTTTCGATATAGCAGCAGGCTTTATAACACTGTTTGTGTAACTGATAGATTCTGAGTTAATGGCAACCTGTCACTTGCTAGAACAGAATTATGCTTTTCCCCTCAGTCTTCCCCTGACTCTAGAACAGTATTCACAAAAGTAATTTGGGAGATCCTGAAACTCACAATTGTCTGATAAGGAAGCTATAACAAGGTTTTCTGGTTACCACTGGAGGATGAAAATTGGATTTTACCTAGTAAGAATGCCTTTCCTACTAAAATGAGAACACATTACAGAGATAGGAATTGATTCAATAAATATTTTAATAGCTATTCACTGAGACAACACAGGACTAAACATAATAGATGGACCATATTTTTGTAATGAGCAGTTCTAGGACACTTTTTTCCTTTTGTTTTCCCCATCTTAGGTAGCATGTGGATTAAAGATACCAGTTCCTCTTTTGCTTCCCTAACAGCATTCACAAAAGATCCTTAAAATGTTGACTGTGTTTAAAAGGAAAATCAAAGTGTTTATATTTATTGTTACTTCCAATTTGCTAATGCTATGTCTCTGAATTTCTTACAGGTGACTTTTGTAATTGCAAGAAGTGATGTTTGACAAAGCAATACTGTATTTTCCAGTAGCTTGAATCATAGAATGGTTTGGGTTGGAAGCAACCCTAAATATCACCTAGTTCCAATCCCCCTGGCCATGGGCAGAGACATCTTCCACTAGACCAGGTTGCTCAAAGCACCATTCAACCTGGCCTGGAACACTTCCAGGGAGGGGGCAGCCACAGCTTCTCTGGGCAGCCTGTTCCAGTGCCTCACCACCCTTACATTAAAGAATTTCTTCCTCATATTTAATCTAAATCTACCCTCTTTCAATTTAAAACTATTACCCCTCATACTATCATTACACTCCCTGATAAAGACCCCATCCCCAGCTTTCCTGTAGATACCCCTTAAGTACTGGCGGGTCACTCTAAGGTCTCCCTGGAGACTTCTCTTCTCCAGGCTGAACAAACCCAACTCTCTCAGCCTGTCTTCATAAGGGAGGTGATACAGCCCCTCGATCATCTTCTTCATGGCCCTCCTCTGGACTCACTCCAACAGGTCCATGTCCTTCTTACATTGGGGCCCTCAGAATTGAACACAGCACTGCAGGTGGGGTCTCATGAGAGTGGAGTAGAAGGGGATAATTACCTCCTTCAACCTGCTGGCCACACTTCTCTTGGAGCAGCCCAGTATACAGTTGGCTTTCTGGGTTGTGAGCGCACATTGTTGGCTCATATTTTTCTATCCACTAATAGCCCCAAGTCCTTCTCTGCAGGGCTGCTCTCAATCCACTCATCACCCAGTCTGTATTTGTGGTTGTGTCCTAGGTTGAGTGAGTGGTGGAGTTTTTTTGGTGGCAGGGGACGGGGCTATCGGGGAGGCCCCCTGTGAGAAGCTTCTCGAAGCTCCCCCACCTCCAAGTCAGCTCCACTTCTGTTTGGGAAATTGAGCCAATCAGCTGCGCCTCTGCGATAACGTATTTAAGAAGGGACGTGGTGACGGGCAGTGGGACTTGTGAGGAGGAGTTGCTGCAGCTGCGTGAACACCAAGGTCAGTGGAGGAACGGAGGAAGAAAGGAGGGAGGAGGTGTGCTGGAGCAGAAACCCCCCTGTATCCTGTGGGGAGACAGCAGGGCGACCCCCCCCGACACCCATGGAGGTCTATGGTGGAGCGGACATTGATTTATGGCCTGTTGCTCCTGCTCAGATGATCAAGGTTCTGTGCCCGAAGAAGGCCGGGGTCTCATGGGAAAAGGCAGCCCCGCTGCTGTAATTCAGCGCTGGGAGGATTGCAGCATGCAGGGGAGTCCCACGCCGGAGCAGCTCGGGAAGGGCTGCAGCCGTGGGAGAGAATCCAGTCGGAGGAAGTTAGTGACCCATGACAGAGCAGTGTGGGGAACGCTGCGGCCCATGGGAGGAATTCAAGCCGGAGAAAGTTTGTGGAGGACTGTCTCCTGTGAGAGGGGGACTACGATGGAGCAGGAGGAACAAGTTTCGGACACTCCCCCCACTGAAGATGAAGAAACAGCAGCGCTGACTGCACCCCCCATTCCCTGCCCCTGCGCTACTGGGGGAGGAGGTAGAGATATCGGGAGCAGAACTGAGCCCGGGAAGAAGGGAGGGGTGGGGGGAAGGTGTTCTCAAGATGTGGCAATGCTTTTCGCTGTCCTACTCTGTTATGTGTTGTTAGTGTCTGTAATAAATGTATGTTCTTTTTTTCTTCCCCTAACGAGTCTGCCTTTTGCTCATGATCATAAAAGGGGGATTTTTCCCCATCCCAGTCCTATCTCGAACCCCAAGCCTGGCTCTCTGTCCCTTCTCATTGCCGGAGGGGAAGGGAGAGAGAGCTGCTGCATTGTGGTTGGCTGCAAATCAGGCCTAAACCACAACAGGTTGGGATTGCATTGACACACATGTTCAGCACCTTGCATTTGGCCTTGTTGAATTCCATGAAGTTTGCACGGGCCCACCTCTCCAGCCTGTCAAGGTCCCTCTGGATGGCATCCCTTCCCTCCAGCGTGTTGACTGCACCACACAGCTTGGTGTCATTGGAAAACCTGCTGAGGATGCGCTCAATCCCACTGTCCATTTCACCAACAAAGATGTTAAACAGTGCTGGTCCGAACACCAACCCCTGAGGAACGCCACTCGTCACTGCTCTCCAGTCAGACATTGAGCTGTTAACCGCAACCCTTTGAGTGCAACCACCCAGCCAATTCCTTATCCACTGAGTGGTCTATCCATCAAATCCATATGTCTCCATTCAGAGACGAGGATGTCATGTGGGAAAGTGTCAAATGCTTTGCACAAGTCCAGGCAGATTATGTCTTCCCTTATCCATCAACTCTGTAACCCCACCACAGAAAGCCATCAAATTTGTCAGGCACGATTTCTCCTTACTGAAGCCATCTTGGCCATCACCAATCACCTCCTTATTTTCTATGTGCCCTAGCTTAATTTCCAGGAGGATCCACTCCATGATCTTGCTGGGCACAGAAGTGGCACTGACTGGCCTGTAGCTCCCCAGGTCATCTTTTTTAAAAAGGGGGCTGATGTTTCCCCTTTTCCAGTCAGAGAAAACTATAGTAGATTGCCACAACTTCTCAAATATGATGGAGAGTGGCTAAGACACTTCATCTGTCAGTTCCATCAGGACTTGTGGATGCATCTCATTAGATCCCATGGATTTGTGCACCTTCAGGTTCCTTAGATGGTCTTGAACAAGATCTTCTCCTACAGTGGCAATTCTCATTTCTTTTTTGACATAACTAAAACTTTTATGATGGCATTTAAGGATTTACATTTTTAAGGCACCTGAAATGTCTGCCTTAGTGAACGACTGAATGAAAAATAGCTATGTTGCCAGGAATACTGATTATCACATTTCCTCAAGGTGTTTTAAGGAAAACAAATATTAGATTGACTTAGTAAGACAACCAATAAATTGGTGAAATGTAAAATTTTAGTGTTTTTTTTTTAATTTTTAAATAAGTGTATGTCAGGGATTCTATGAACTATTAATTGTTTGTCTATTTATTCTTTGCTGTATAAAACTGTTTTAGTATTTTTTTAAAAAAGAATAGGCATTTAGGAGCTTCACAAGTGAAATTTTTTTCTGCTTATACTGTGCAGTAAACCTTAAATGCTGAAAAAGAACATTTTCATTCTCCAGCTGCCCACACATACCTACTAAAAGTCTAAAATATTTAGAGGAAGCCTAATTTTTTATCTCTTATATGCACTTATTTTTTCAGTTGTTTCCTTGAACAATTTTTTATACACAACTATATTCTGTTAGCCAATCCTTTTCATGAGAGTATAAACCTATTCCATGTTTGTCTATCAAAATGTTACTACATTTTACATTGAAATCTAATCATATTTTACAAATAATTTTTCCCCAGCAAGTGTGTGTTCAGAAAAAATATACAAGCTATATTCCACATGCAATCATGCATGTGCTTCCTTTTTTTTTTTTTCCTTAATCTCTAATGTGTTAGATAACTATGTAACATGTAAAACTTACAGCTCTCCAGGCTTCTTTTCTGCATCGAGAACACAACCATTCATTTTGGATTTCACGAGGAGAAACACCATAGCAACCTGGAATAAGAGAGCTGGATCAATTAATATGCTCTGCATTCCTATCTATGATGTCATACAATTCAACTGTGTATAAACACTAGTAAAACACACCTACACACCTCCTGTGATCAAGGAGACTTTTCCAATTAGCCAGGGACTGGAGCATTACATATGGAAATGTTCTCCAAGTACTTTTAAAGACATACTAGAAGCCTAGTTAATTATTATTTATCAATAAAACAAAATTTTATATTTAATTTCTCCCAACTGAACAATTAGTTTATTTACTTGCATGAACCCGCACGCAACACTTTGCACAGGAAATCAGAAGACTTGTTCCATCTTCTTCAATAAAGGCATTTGGTGGATAGTTTTCAGTGTTTTCTTCACTATAAATAAAACACATCTCTGGAATAAGAGGTTTAGTTTTTTCATTTTCAGCTATCAGTGTTTCTGCTGAGTTTGCTTCCCCAAAAATAGGACTTTTTTCATCATGATTGTCTGGCTGGAAAATAAATAAAATTTATATTTAAGTAAAAGAAAGGAGAGGCTTACTCTTCCTTTTGACAATGATGAAACGACTTCTCCCCTCCCAGCTCTTGCACAAACAGTATAACAGTTTTATTAGAAAATTAACTGTTTCTAGGTATTTATCACAGTCATTCTGTAGTTCCTTGATTGTTCAAATAACTGTGAAATCTAGAATAGCACTCAGACTGCAAACTAGATTTACTGCAGTAGTGTTCAATGATACTGTACCTCTGTCTGCCTTTGAGCCCTTTCACTGGGTCCAGTGCAATAAAAGTTGTCTTCCTAGTTCCCATGCTGAAGGGATTCCAGTTTAGCAGCTTCAGAATTAGTACTGTAGTACTACAGCAGCATTTTAGCTGACATTTGACATAGGAATTCCACAAGCCAGTATCAAACAGTGCTCTGCATTAGACTATTTCTGTGGGAATATTATTCCTGAGAAGGCCTAAGTACTGTGAAAACACTTCTTCAACACTGTAGGAAGCAGACACAGAAGAGGCTCCAATAAAAAGCATTTGAAGATGGACATATAAGGAAGTAGGTGAAAGGTACAAATCTATTTGGATTTGCCACCTCAAAAAGAGTAACTTCAAGAGCAAGCACACATACACTAACACCAATCCTATATAAAACCTAGTACAAGGCATACTCTGTCTATCATCAAGGATAAACACAAGTGAACAGAGTATCAGTTCTAATTCTAACAATAGTGAGTTTATTTACTTTTCATACAAATCAAAGGCATAAGCTTACTTTATTTCTAGTTTACTGAAAATAAAGTAGCTGGGCAGCTATTTCACACTTCACCCAAGATGGAGCTGTCAGGATTTTGCTTACCTTGTAGTATGGCATGAGGAGAGTACAAATGGCACAGTGTGGTTCCTTTTTCGCACAAGCTGCATTATATTGTTTTTCAGCATTGAAATTGGGTACTTTTGTCTGCCAAAGGTAGACCAGAGGCCTGGCCCATGTCTCTGTCTCTTGATTTTTCTCTTCAGTTAAGGTAACATCAGTCAGTTCTTAAAGAAAACAAACAATTGGTTACATTGTGGTCCTGGAATGAAGACAAGCAACAATGATTTCATCATGTGTGCTAACAATGAAAATAAGACAATGCTATAAGAAGTCTGCATGTGAGTACAAATGCAGAAGTCTAAAAGAATTATGCATCAGGACAAGCACAAAAAAAGTGCTTTGACACATATGTCAGGAGCTCAGTGATCACATACAGCATAAGAAAGTATGCCACTAGCTCATCTGTTTACAATTTGTATTCATATCCACAACATTACATCTCAGTCTCCTACTCCTTAATTCCTCCAACCTCTGCCCACTATTCCTCCATGCACTCTGCCCTCAATTCCTTATGGATGGAATGTGTTGCATCTTGACAGACAGCACCAGAAAAATCACTCTGTTCACCCAGAATGACACCTTTCAACTCTTGATGGAAGCTGACACTCATTCTCCAAAGGGAAAAAGAAACAAATGTTATAGCCAGGGAGTAATGGGGAACAATCAGGTTGAAGATGTAGCTGGATATGCATGCTCGATCCCACTACAGGAAAAATTATTTGGTAATATCGTTAATCTGTTCTGGATGTTATAAAAGTCTGGTTTACTTATTAGCACTGTTTCCATGCAGGACTCCTTAAAGCTGACTTTATGAAATTGAAAGCCTCTAGAGAAACTGGGAAACAAAATCAGACAGAAACTCAACAAGAAATAGCTTACTAAATATAAATAGTCTAAAAATGTAATCATTTGTTATTGAGAAAGATGAGCAAAAGGGAAAGCTGTGAAAGGGAGACTGGGTGTAAAACCCATGCCCCAGTGGAATCAATAGCCTAATTATTAATGATCCAGTTGTTAACACAAGAATTTCAGCCTAGTCATGTGTTTGAGCTGGTTGGAAACCTACAGATATCCTCACAGGCAACCTAGTGATTTTGCCACCTGCAAAATCTAGAGATTATGAGGAAGTAAATGCCTTTTAACTCTAGAAAGGAAAGTATTGCTGACAGGAGATGTTAAGTATATATTTCTGAATTCAGTCCTTATACACTGCTCTGATTAATGATGAGGTCTGTGGTTCAGTTCATTCAAGTGGACAGTGCCTATTAAATCTTTCAAGATCTATGAGAAGGCATGTAGGTGTCAACTACAGTAATTAAAATAATGTGAATGTGGGAAGGAAATGAGAAAATTTATTAAATAGAACTTTCAGATAACAAAAATGTCTATAGAACACAGTCTTTTTTCTAATGATGTATTTAAGAAAAATTGTTTATTTCAGAAGAAGAACCAACAGAGAAATGTTTAATGAAGTATATTAAGCTGAATCATCGCATTTCTTCAGCCCATGACTGCCCTCATCCACTTTGTGAATCAGCAGAGGCTTTATGGGTTTCCTCCTCTGACAAATTGTCATGCATTGCTACAAAAGCACTATGAAATTGACAGCATTTTTATCAGTGTTGAATAAAATATGGGTTAAAATATTTGTCTACAAGAAAGCCAAATGTAGCAAAAATAAATTAATTAATATATCCTGCATGTGAATTCTATTCCACTTTTAGAGTTACTCAAAAGAATTAATATCAATTCAATAAACATTTGCCAATAATCCACATAGAAGGGCAAATAAAAAACATCTGCAAAAAATCTGTCAGCAAGACAATATTCAGCAGCAGAGCTTTATGGTGAATAATGCAGCTGCAAAAGAACATCAGTGAAGAACTAGCTGAACACAAAGAAGGCATGAAGATACAGAATGCCAGCATCACTTTTATAGCTTTCTGAACTACTTTTTTTTTTTAAGTTAAAAGCTTAACTGAGCTTTTATTTAAAAACATTCTGTCCAATCATATTTTTTGTATTGCTTGCAATTTTCCAAAGTGTAAAATAAATAGCTCTGAAATCTATGCCTCTAGTGCCATTTCTATCTATTTAAATTTTCCCTTACAGTACAGTCTCACAAGTGGCTTCAGTTTTGCTAATTTATTTTCTGAATTCTTTTTTTTTGATATTATTTTCTTTCAGGAGCTTATACTGTCATTATTTTAAATATTTTTGTTATAATTGTGATCTCACAGAGAATTCAGGGTTTCATTATGCCTTATGAAGAAAACAAGAACACAAAATTTGTTGTGAAGGTTTGTAACTTACATCTTCCATATCTATTATCCACTTTGAAACTGACATCCTTTGATTGCACCACTCCTTCTCACTACTGAATAATTCTCCAATAAGAGTTGAAGTCTTTACCCTGAACCTCAGCCTATTATGCTCCTCTCTAGACAAAAAAATCTATCTTTGGATTTCTAGTCCTGGAATCAATTGTAGGACGGTAGCTCTAGTTCTCTCACATAGTGCTCTGGTCTCCCACTGCCTCCAGCACATTGCTGAGTTCATGACCAGACTTTCTGGTTTTGATGAGAACAGTATTTAAACCTTAATTACATATAAGCTCTACAATTTAAGTTCCCTCATGTGATCTTTACAAATCCTTTCCAGACAGAGGCAAGGGACAGGAATAAAGCTGGCAGCACTCTTACATTTTGTTGGTTTCAAGAGATTTGCATTTATTTTCAAACCTTATTCCAAATGAAGCCAAGGACCAAGTGTCATATGCAGATGTACCAGACTGCATCTTTCATAACCTCCAAAAACTGAAACACTATTTTAATAAGCTTATCTCCCCCTTTACTTTAGAGCAACTACTTCCAGTTACTTATTAACTATAAGCAAACCTTCTTTATTTGCCTCTGATCTCTAGCTTCTCTAATTATGTATTCTATCTCCTTTGAGGTATGACTGTCTTCTCAGTGCTCCTCACTGCAGTCTCTTAGTCTCTGCATGAACTATGGCACCCAAGCTCTCTGATGTGATCCTCCTGCATATTACACCCTGCAATCTCTCACTCTTCTTCATCATAACAAGTCCAGACACACAGCCAGAAAAGGAAAAATATCCCTCCTCTATTCCGAGGGAGACTAGCTAAGCCAGTACTCCTTAAAGGAATGTTACACTAACAGTATACAAAATTAAGGACAGAATGGATGGTCTTAAAGTATATAAGCTTTGTCTGATCCTCTGTTATCACTACTGTATGGCTTGTGAATTTCACAAAAATCTTCTCTTCAAGAATTTCATAGGCAACCCTGAGCTTAATTTATCATCTTTCAAGGGCCTCAGAAATATTAGTTCATCTCCTTATAATCAACATTCACCCACCCACATACTGAAATCATAAAATGTCAAAAGAAATTGATATTAGAAAAACAAAACAAAAAAAAACAACCAACCAACCAAAGTTACAGAGTACATGACTCCCATTAGAGAATATGACAACAGTGTTGCCTTCCACAAGTCTCTCACCAGTTAGAATATACAATTTTCTATATAAATATTCTATATCAACTGAACTTGAGCAGGTCTATCTTATGTGTTTTTCCCAATGTGCCTCAATATCACTGACAAGAAGCATATCCACATCAGCCTCTCAGGTAACTCCAGGAGTTACTTTTCTGGTTTCCATGAAGTCAGAGAAGTTATGTATCATAGAAAAAAAAGTGAGAATCTGGTTATCTAAAACAGGCAAGAAAAGGAACAGCTTCCCAAGTGTTTGGCAGAAAGCAGAGAGTATATAATCAGTTGGTGTAACTAACACTGTCATCTTGGCAGTTTATAGCATTTCTTCACTTATCCATTTGGTAATTTCAAAGTACTATTTATGTACCCCCAAAAATTGGAAAACTTGAGGGGTTTTTATAATACTTTTTTTTTCTATTTATTAAGTACGTCTCACTTCCTCTTACTCTCTTTAATGACTCCTTTCATTACTTACTACATAACTGAATAGCAATCAGTAATTTAGCATAAAATAAATTTACCTTCCTGACTCACATTGGTATGTGTGGTTTCAGGGTAGACATTCAGGTGCCTCATGTGAGTTTAGTGGTTTTTATTAGAACCATTAGAAGCATGGAGGTGTCCAGCATCTTCATATGCTTCTACGCAATGGTATAAAGGACTCAAGACAACTGCAACCTCCAGTTGCCTCCATTTGAAATCCAACTTAACTGACAGTTTTCAAAGTAAGAATGGATAACAATTTGTGGTGTTCATACTGACTGAAAAACCTCAGAAGTTCCATTGTCATAAGCAGGCACACTTTCTGCAACTATATATCAGTGTGATTTCCCAGTACTCACACAAAAACCACAGTAGAAGCATCAGCTCCCACAGTGAAAGAGAATCAAACATTGCCCACCAAAAATCACACATCTATTTTACATGACCAGTACATAATGTTTCATGAAGCACTATGAACATGATGTTTCACTAAAAATCTTGGCATACTTCTGAAAGAGCCTGAGAGTATTGTCTCAGTTCTGGTAGGGCAAGTTTTGATGAACAGTCACATATGCAATGCTGCCAACCAACAACATTCTACAATACGTGCAATTTGTCAGTCAAACCTTCTTTGCAATAAACTGGTCTCTCTCCAAGAGCAGCTACCAATGGCCCAAGACAGACAACCCAAAAGATTCAGGTCAGTCAACGCGATGATATGAAACACAGTCTATGTCTTTGGTGAGCCTTTTCCCTGTATAGCACATGAAATGGAGCTACGAAATCTATCTTGACTTCTATGCCTGCTATAACCTGGATCAAATCGCTGACACTTCCTCACAGTTCACCGTCAGTAAGTCTATGAGCAGAACTCTGTACAGGTGTGCAGCAGAATTCCCTGGTGAGAATTCTGATGTGCCATTAACTCTTTTCAGATTAAATTTACATTCCAAATTAAGAATTAATCAAGACAAAAGTGAATAATGCATTCTTGATATTCTTTGGTAAAGAAACATCAAATCAACTTAACTATAGTACAGGATATATCTTGCTGTCAGAGGGAATAAAAGAAAATACAGGACTTGAACCTGTTAGCTGTGAGAAGGAAATTCAATATATGTTTGCAGTTCAATTGACAGCACTGTTCAAGAGATTGCAAACTCTCATGCATAACACATAGGCATACTGACAAATACTCAAAGAACCATCTTTAAAGTCTTCAGTTGATCTATTCCTGTTGTTTAATCTCCATCTGAATCATAACATTCTAACTATAGATATAGTAATTATTCCCATAGCAACAAATATTGTATCAAAAATTGAGGCCATCAATTCAGCTACAAAAATAAATATCTCTTTTTCCAAAACACCTTCTCACACAACACCATGTTCAAGTGTAAATGTTATGCTTAAGCAGAAATATAAGTGCTACTTATAGGAATTCAAAATTGCTTGACAATGCAACAGAACTATAATTATCTGAATCACTTTGTTACAGTCAAGCTCACTCTCTTTCCTGAGACAATTTGTCTCTGAAGAACTTCAGCAAATAAGACACCATGTTCAGAGACTAACTCTATAAAGACGTATGTGCTCACGCGCTACTTCAAAGTGAAACTATGAGAAGAACCATTCAATACACTTTCTCAGGATATATTAAAATTCCATAACTATAAAAATACAGTACAGGGTTTCTATAACTGCAAAACAGAAAATCCTCTGGTTATCACATGAAGCCTTTACTATCTGGAATGTGACATGCTTGAGAAATTATATGAAATAAACATTAAATAATCTACACTAAAATAAACATCTTTTACATTTAAGAGGACTGTTTACACAACATCTTGCACCACATAAAACTTCAATTAAACTAAACTTAGAAAAAAATATTAAATAAATAGGACATCATATAAGAAAGGAAAATAAAGACTTGTACTTGCACCATTGGAAATGTCTACATAGACCCCAAAACCTCATAGCTCAGGCAAACCAATCACAGTCAGGAAACAAAATTAAATATCATAGAACTTCTACAAACTATCATCCTTCTAAAGTTCAAAATATGATTGTAAGTGTACATTATAAAATAAATTCTAATGTCAAACCAGCCCTTACCTTTGCAGCTGTAAATTAAACTTCACATCACCCTTGTGTAATGAGTAAGAGCCCTAAAGACCTTCTAAGATTTGGTTTATTAACAAAGATGTGTTATTCAAAGGAAACAAATGTGAAATTATCATTCAGAGTTTCAAGAATTCCCCAATGCCAGAGAAAATAACAAAAAATCCCAAGTTGATCTTCTCTTTCAACAACTTAGAAGGAGTTCCATGCTCAATTAATATTTTCTAGGACAGAATAAGAAATCCGATGCATTCCATATGTGGAAGAGGACCTATTATTAAGCAGGCACTCCTTCATTTAGAATATCTTTGTGATGATGCAGGTATATTCTGTATGTAAGTCAGGGCACTGTTCCTCTAATTTACACTTTAATGTTCCATGTATCATATGACTGATCAATAAACCCCTGAAACTGAAGAAGGCTCAGAGGACATACGCAAGGGGTCTGTGGATTTGAATCTTGGGAAGAATCTAGGAAGTGACTGCCCATAGCTGTTGCAAAGAAAGGCAAATTTATCTCAACATAAAGGGGAACAGAGGGTGGCCTTTTATCAGCTAGGTGGATCGGCTGGTTGTACAAGTTATTCCCTGAGATAATGTTAATCAGAAGATTGCAAATATCTTCCTGGCCCAGCCAGACCAGAATATGGGAAGTGCATATATGGCTCAGTTCAACATAGAGTTTAAAAACTGAACATCGAACAAAATGAACTTTGAAGACAGCAATAGGTTGACTCCAATGCATGTATTCCTCCCCAGCAAATGGTGACACTCAGCATCGTGACAGTGAGCATACACAGACCAGTAATGGGAATTACATTTATATTGTGATCCAACTGTATATTGCAATTTTATATTGTGCTTGTATTTTGATTTCAGTACATTGATCTCTCACTCTGCTAATGCAAAATCCTGTGTAACATCAAATACTTTCCATTAAATTTGATATTAAATATTAAATACTTCTTGTGTGGGACACTTAACAGAACCCAGCCAGAGAGTATTGGACTCTGGCACAAGGAACACAGAATTCAGTTCTTTATTACTGGTACTTAAATTGTATTTACAAGTAAAAAGACTGACTTGGACTCTGCTATAGTGTTAGGCATTACAGTTTAGAGCAGCCAGAAATTTCCTGGATAAGATGTAAACCTTCAGCATGGGAGCACATGTTTAAATCAAGTTCAGAGACCCTCTGCTGGATCCACTGTGACAATATAAACTACTTGGATTCAAACACCTTATCAATACATCATTAAATATATCACTGATTTTGGTATGTTTCGATAATAACTATGTGGAGTGGCCTTCACACAATGAGTGACATTTCTGCCTCTTACAGCCTCTCAAAGACAGCTTATTATGAAAGTCTGTTCATATGCATATTTTTAAAAAATACTCATATGAATGAAGCCTGTTTCTTGTAACTTCTGTTATGTTTCTGGCTGTAATTGTATCACATATTCATGCTGAAGTCTAAAACACATCAATACCAGCCCCCCCAAAAAAGTATTAACAGGATGATGTAATGCAGGATATTCCTATGCATTTAAAAACATTTCCCTACTGCCACCCCTAACAGTGGACACAGATCTTGATTCTCCATGAACCACCAGGGCACTTTTACTTCAGTGCAAGTATGTTTTCCTGTAAATAGATGCTTTACCAGATATAATTCATAATGAGGTTAAATATTTTGTTTCCTAAAGAGACAGAGCAAGTGCTCTTTTCCAAAAGAAAAGCAGAAACACTTGATGAGCCAATTAATTACTTTAAATAAGTGCGTAACAGTTATTATAAACCTTACTGTATCATATAATAATTCAGCTATAGTGGTACTGATACTCTAAGGTGATTAGTAATGTCAAACTCCATACTATTTCCTGCTATCATGTTTGTACCTGAAAAGAATATTCATATAGGATTAATCTATCTCTGTTATGCAATTTCGGATATAACAGTTCTCATTAGTGGGATTATTTATATTCATCTGTATACCTTTACATAATTAAGAAAAGGGAAACAATTCGTTAAAACAAACTGTGTAGACAAAAAGGAAATTATAGCCCACAATCTGTTTTGGTACAAAGGAAACTCCTTCTATAACAAAGTACTTATAAACAGCTACTGTGCTGCTTTCCAAGTGGGTAAATGAATGAAATAAATGTTTTCACAAATGTTATTGGTTTAATAGTTTGTAGCAAACTTGCTCCAACACTCAATGCTATTGCTTTGAACGGTTTTTGCTTACTAAGTTAAACTCAAATTCTCAGACAGAAAACATTTGGGCCATTTGCAGAATGGGCTGTTGCCAGTATTTGCTGATTTAACCCAGCAGATGTGAAAAGCCATAGACGTTAATACAGTACAATTTGCTTTTGCCAATCTCAACAATGATTTTGCTGCTTGGGGTTATGTTCCACTGATGTTTCCTGGCTTTGTACAGCAGCATTCTCTGCTATGAAGAGCATAGCAGCATCTGTTATTTTTCAGGTAGTTGAACATAATCTCAGCCCTGGGAGGCATTATCTATACTTTCAAATGTCCTGGAGGAAATAATAATAATTAAAAAAAAAAGTCAGTCAGGGAAAAAGACTTGCAACTTCAAAACTTTACTGTTCCTGCAGTATATCAGCAAACTCAGTTCAGAAATTGTTTTTCTTTTTTTCAGTAACGAAAGCCATAGATTTCATAGTAAAATATGAAAATGTAAAACTTTTTAATTTCTTATACTATACAAAAGTTTAATGTATTGTATGGTATTGTACAGTAAAAGCACTTCAAAGGATGTATAAATTTTTGGTTGGAGAGTCTAATTGCTGAATTAACAATTAATACTTCTGTTCTTATAATTACTGTATGTAAAGATAGCTGTACTGAATCAGAGCTGTAGAGGATATACCTAATATCTCCTGGATTAAATGAGGTTTAGCTCACAAAAGAAACTAACGGAGTGTTTTATTAAAAAAAGTAAAATCTCAAAAAAGTGTAACATCAGTTGTAGCATATCTCAAAATGTTTCAAAAGGCCAGAAAAATTCAGAGTTCAAAAAGTTTTTAGAAAGACAATTTGACAGAATTGAAAGACACATTTAGATACTGGGACAGTCTGATTTTTCTTGAGCATATCAGTAAGGTCCCATAATGAAATTCACATTTGTTTTGTTATTGAACTGTGTATTGTAATTGCTACACTTTGTAAATGTAATTTGTACTTGTATTGTGATTTAAGTGCATTCCTGTATCACTGCTAAATTGAAATCCCATGTAACTGCAACTAATTTCAAATAAGAAAGTTTTGTTCTATTCATTAAACCCTTCATACGTGGAATATCTAAAAAAACCTGGTCAGGGTGTTTTAACTGGCATCGTTGGCAGAATATTCCTGAGAGTGAGCAGTACTCATTAAAGCAGTAATGATTACTCTGGCAAAAACATGCTTTCTGACTTGATGTTAGTCACAGATAAGAATCTGGTAGAGAAAACCTGCATTGTGATTAAGAACAGGTAGTGATAAGACTGCCTCCAGACTGAACCACTACCATATAAAAGAGGAGATACAGTTATTATAAACACTAGTAAAGGCTGGAAAAATCTCACCAGTTAACTTTGAAAAGGAAGGATGGCAAAACCATAACCAGGATTTTTCATGGAGAGCAGAATAGAGCACTGATCCCACTGATATTTAGGATGAATTTGAAAAATTGAAAGGTTCTAACAAGTTGAAGAGAGGAGAGAAAAGCAGGGCTTCGCAGGTTGCTGGGTATTTACCTCTCAGTAGCAGTGCAGAAGATAGAAGAGGAGAAATGAACACATACCATGCTAGAACAAGAAAAAGAAACAGTTATAAAAGATAACATAATGCATAACCAATGTACACAGATAATCAAAGTAAGTTCTTAAACTCAATGTTTCAGCCTCAAATCATGTGATGCCCATACGCATAGGAATCATTTACTATGGTCTACTGAAATAGACCTCATCCAAGTGGCGGCCACCACATATACGAAGGACAATGAATGATCAAGAGATACATGGTTTGATACTGATCCTTTGGAGTGTGCATATTCAGGTGACTCATGAGAAGAAATATGAAAGTGTTTGCCTCCATGGCAGAAAACAAATGAACAAAGAAAGCAATGGGCCTGAACCAGATGCAACCCACGTATTCCTTCCCAGAGACTGGAAACATCCAGCATTGTGACAGTGGGCCTATTATTAGACAACAGTAATGAAATTCACATTTGTATTATAATTCCTAACCGTAATGTAGTTTGTACTTGTATTGTGATTTGAGTGCACACTGTATCACTCTGCTAAATCACAATCCCATGTAACTTCAGACTTCAAATAAGTAAATTTTCTATTATGCACTGAATTTTCCATATATGGAATACCTAAGAGGACTCTGTCAGACTGTACTGGACCCCAACTTCTTCCTCTAACAAATGGCAAAGTAACTAAAATGTATTTGATTTACATTGCTATGCTGCTGATAAACTAACTTTGAGAAAGCTCTGAGGACTTATGGCGTGGAGAATTAGTGCACATTTATATAATCCGTAAAACTAGTTTTATAGGACTATAGCATTGACATTTTTTAAAACTTCCATTTTCATCTGCTTACCAATTCTTGCAACAAAATTATTCTCTACTTAAACCCTGGACCATAAAAGTACCCAATAAATACAAGGGATAAAAATTAATCTTTCATCCACTGAATTCCCTAAATAGCTGCACAACTTCATTGTGAACATGGAATGAAGAATTGAGCCCAAATAATTAAGGCTCAAATGAAAGATATCTACTTATTCTGGCTACCTAAGCTGAAGCACAAACAACAGATTCTTACTGATACTAAAAAACATGATCTAGTGGCTCCAGAAATACAGATACTTATCAAGTCCAAAAACCAAGCTCAAAGGTGACCCACTAGTCAAGCAACTGCATTTAACATGTGGACATGAGGCCAGAGAAAGGGAGATGTTCTTATACGTGTAACAACTGCCACATGAAATACGTATAGAATATTTGTGTTATCATTTCCATTTTATATGTATGTACATTATAGAAATTCCAGTAATTTCACCTGTCTTTACACTGTGTAAGTTTAAAGAATAGCCACTGTATTTATAATTTAGTTCAGAGAGGCATCTCATTAAAATCAAAACAGAAACAAAAGAAAATCTATTGAAATTTACCATATAGCCTATTAGCAAAAAATTGCATTCCAACTCAATTTGTTTGTGATCACTGTACTTAGCAGCTAGAAGATTTGATCAATAGCTAAAATTACACCGGAATTTTTAGGAATTTCTATTGTCATCCACAAACGTGCTTACTGATTTTCTAATGAATCACCACAGTTTGTCATTTGGCTTCAAGAACTTACGGAGGTTCATTTAAGCTAACCAACTCCAAATGTAGAGTATGTATTTCAATTTAGAATAATTTCACATAATTAAGGATTACTTAAATCTGAAGGTCTGGTCACATATATCTTTATCCCAGTATATGGTATATATGATTTCAACAATGTAAAATTATTGTACTGTAAAGGATTCAGTGAAATACACACAGTTCTCTATATCAAAGACAAACCCATTATTTTATTTAGTTCTTCCTCTTAATTTAAAATTAATATCTCATGAACCTCTGGAAATTTAAGAGATGGTCCCTGAAAATCAATTCTGGAGTGGTCCCTACCTTTGTCAATTACCCACTGAAGCTATCAAATATGCATTATATTATCAGTGTAAAAGTATTAGCATAGCGGGCTTTTTATTCCCAATTTTGTTCCTGTCTTTTAAGAATTTTCCAAGCTAGCACACAATCTAATTCTTACTATTTTCTAAAACATTCTGCAGAACTTTTCCAACCTACTTGTCAGTATATGCATCTGTACAAAAGTGGAAAAATACATAAACTTTCTCCCAATCTTCAGCATCTCTTGCCTATTAATAAAAAGGGTCACTGTGATATGACAGAATTATTTGGTAATTCTTCCTTAGAAACATTACAGAGCAGATTCACCAACATACTCTTCTTTTATGCTACTCTAGAGACAAAAAACAGTACCAAGTGGGGAAAACATATTTTATGATTACTTTATATCTCTCAAGCAGCACAAATCTAACCTATGTCAATATACCATTTCAGCATAAGTGCCTCTGGGCAAAACACAAGTGAAATTTTGAGGAACCAGTTTACATGAATGCTCACAGTTAAGATTGTGATGAAGTTCTCCAATGAACCAAGGCCTCAAGTAGTTACTTATCTTCATAAATTAAGTATGGAAGATGCAAAACAGAAAGACTCAATCACAGATCCAAATTGACATGATAAATCAATGCCTGAATTGGAATTATAAATCAATAGCTTCAAGCTACAGTTCCTGCAGATCACTAGAACAATTATCCCATAAGCACCCCATCCACTAGACAACAGTTGCATTCAAACTCCCTCAAGGATCAATTTCTTAAGTGTAATTATTTTGTACATTTAAAAATATATATTACACACACTTCTCAGACAAGAAAAAGCATTTAGTAAAACCCTACTGGCATTAAAATCAAGACATTTTCAATAGTGATGGTTTACAAAGCAGCTTCAGATTTTGAGAAAGGCAATGATAACTCTACAGGCTATATTTTATTTAATTTGGAAGAAAATAATTACTACTGTGGTATCTTGGAACTAGGATAATTTATTAGTCAATACTCTGTACCAATACATCAGGGAACTCATATTCATTAAACACAAGTCATACATTTTCTTTGGACTGTAATTACAGAAACAGAAGCTCAACTCCAGAAGATAACCTTACAGAAGAGACATCTGTTTCATTGGAAAATATCATATCCAGTTTGCATACCAACTCCATAGCTACACTTGAGAAGGCTACTGAGAGGCTGCACTAATGCAGCAGGAAATCCATTTTCAGTTTGGCATACTTGATACTGAGAAATTATACATGCCTCTGTACCTAAGACTGCAGCTCTATCCACTCCTCTAAGAGGTATTTTATTTGAAAGCTTAAAAAGCTGCACAATGAGTGTTGTAAGGTTCATCTAGAGAATAATGACTCTTTATGATCACGACATATAAAACTGTCCATCAAATGGGGCATAAATGTTAGAAGAACTGGTTTGTATTTCCCTCTTGAATCAAAATAATGGCGACTCTTAGATGCTGGCACTTGTAGGGGTCCACTCTAGGGCAGATAAGCACTGCTTATGAAAAACGTCACGGGACAAGAGCCGCCAGTGGAAATAATGAGTTGTCAGTTCTTGCCATTTCTGGAGATCAGCTGCTAGCCCACAAGGTTGACAAGAGTATTGGACATTCAGGAAAAGCTTGACTTTTCAGCACTTCCCTTTCCTAAATACCTACTGAAGATTCTACCTCAATTTTGTAGCTTTTTGAGTCTTTGGGTTATCACATGCTACATAAGTGCTAAAAACTTTTATGAATTATGGTAATCAAATCTTGAAAATAGAATTTAAAGAAATCAGAAACAATGTAGGTATCAGAGTAAAGGAGAGAAAACATTTTTCTAGCATAGTGATACTGTTGCAAGTGGTAGATAGTGCTGGTCTCTTTCAGTGCTAGATGATGAAGTATGAAAAATACAAATTCTGTAGTTCATTAACTCATAAAATCAAAGTATTTTTAAAGATGTAAAACTCTACTTATAAACCAGATGAATACAGTGTGAGAGTGACAGCAAGACTGCAAATTACAATATTAATGTGTCACAAATAAACACATCTCTATTAATTCGTTAACAAATTCTTCTCTACCTCCTAAGTAATATGGGGGGGGGGGGGGGGGGGGGGGGCTGGAAGCTAACATTTCTTTCTGAAATATGTAAGAATCTTCAAGAAGAATTTGGCATTTTAAGCTCTGAAGCAAAAAAATTATAATTGCATTTACAAGTGTCATTTTCCCCTATTTCAGCATGCTTAATCTATTTATGACATTACTGAACATGCCTTATATGGCTTGACTACTAGTATCAGAACAAGTCCATGTCACAGGATGCTGAGAGTGAATGTAAAAAACAAAGAAGCTTTATTTTATGCTATAGCAGAAGGAAAACTACAGCTGTAAAACTAGCAATTTTCAGGAATCAAACCCTTGTCCAAGCCACTCACAATAGTTTTCTCTCTGTTTATCTTATGAAGTAACAAAAGCAAAATTACTTTGAATTTCTGAATCATATTTAAAACACAAAAAAACGTATACAAAGAAACCTACACTGAATTCAAACTATACATTAGTGTTATATCATTTAGGGCAATGGGAAATCTTAGTCAACTTGAATCTAAAAACAGTTTCTAATGTTGCATGCCCAAATATTGCTGGAAAGAAATCTCCTGGATCAATCAATGTGCATCCAAAGTCAGTATGCTTGCTCCTTCTGCTGAATTTGCCTTTTTATTGCTTAAGTGAGCAGAAATATAACTGCATTAAATACAACAGAATAAAGTTACCATAAGCCAATATACCGCATTGAGCGTAAGATCAAGGTTCATAATGTAAAAATTGTTAGTATTTTGACTGTGACATACAGCTCACACTGTACTGCTGCACTTACTTTTCTAAACTGGCAGCCTGAGCTATAATTTCTGGGATTGATTCCCCAGTCCCCAGTATTTCTAATTGCTCAGTCCTTTAGGCATTAATTCCACAATAACAATCATAAGGGAGACCTGAAAGTCAGACATACATAGATAAAAGCTTCAGAGAGAGTGGGGAAAAAAAATTAACACCAGTAGACCATAAAGAAACAATTAACCCAATAATTTCTCTGTAGAAGAAACATTCAGATCATAAAGAAACATACACATAAAGAAGCATATGTAGTGATAAAAAGAAAACACAAAACTAGATGTTCAAGTGATTCTGTACAAAAAAAAAATAATTTCTGCTAAAGGGCTCTATTAACAGTGAATCCAGAAAGTCTCTGCTAAAATTTAAGCATGCTGTCAAACATGATAGTATTCTATTTGTAAAATTATGATTCTGAAATGGGGGACAGTGTCAAAGAATGCTGCCTTCATATTATTAATGGCCTCTGATCACTTCTATTCACAGTAACTTCCTAACAGAACCCTAGTGTCTGAAAGACTGAAAGTATGTTCATTTGAATATAAATTATCTGTATTAGAAATGGCTACAGACTATCCAACTTGTGGAAAGTGACATGATTTGCAGATGAACTATAAAGCTCCAATTTCTTAATTTTTCATAACACCACTAGCCCATATCTTCTTCTTCCTACTTTCTGTTTACATTGATGATTTTACTGGACCCAGATAAAGTAAAATATAAACAAATGTATCAAATACACAAATCCCCTTTGTAAAGGAATAGATCAATTCAAAAATAATAGTACCAAGAGACTACAGTACCATGGCAATTACTGCATAATTTTTGTTAAAAAAACAGAGAGAACAAGAACTGAGTAAGTATGCATGATGAATTACATTTCTGGTAACTCCAGAATATGGATGAAGCATCTTAATAAAGAGGAACACAGTCACTAGTACATTGATACTGATTACTCCCCTGATACCTGACAACAAATATTCTTGAACATGATCAGAAAAATCTCCTTTGACTGGCATTCATCTTGCCACAGATCTTTAATTCACATGCCAGCATGCACTAGGAAATCTAATGAGGCTTCAGTTTGCCAGTCTCCTTCACCAATTCTTCAATCTCTGTCTCGGATGTAAACATTCTGCTCACCCAAAATCTATTGGTTTTCTTCTGATGTTCTCACAAAAGCATGCTGATAAATTAGATCACAATGAGAAACAGATGCATGAAAATAATACAAAATTCCAATTCCAGCTAGGAAATACCAATAACTGCCATGTCCAATAAAACTCTTAGTTACTTCCTTCAATCAATAAGCAGACAGGTGCTTAATAGCTACTTGAAATGATTCTAAGACAACATTTTCTTTCCTAACAAAAATACACCATTACCTACCAGAAGGACAATCATCCTTTTAAGAGGAAGGACTGAAAGGTATATGACTTCTTGTTGGGATGCTGTTAGTTTCACACAAAATTAAGATACCAGACAACAAACAAAGAGCGGAATCCTTGAAACTAACAAACCAGTGTCATCACATTATATCTAACCAGATTATATCATACACAAACCATTCTTAAATAGGAATTTTACACTATGTTTTAACTATATTGATGAAAAAGCGTCAGGAGGCAAAAGGAATATAATCTCTAAGTAAAAAAAGAGCAATTTCACTGCAACCTACCACATATTTAAATCTTTAAGTACTTTACTAGATAAATCTTAATATCAACCTTTTTGTGTAAATTATCATAACACTTTTTGAAATATGCTTTGTCTAGCCCTGAAGGAATCCAAACATATCCGTGTATGACACAGATCATGGGCCTAAGCTGTCTCTAATTTTCAGAAAGATACTTAACAGCTAATTGCAGTTTCATGACTGGCAAAACTGCAACTGAGATCAAAAAGAGAGAGAGAAAGTATGGCTTTCCCAAACTAGTGAGACAGAATCCACAAATCAATGACTTTAGGCTTGGAACAAGGAGGGAGATGTACTGATGAGGGACTAGCTAAAATTACAGCACCCAGCTCAACGATACCTAAATCTGTGCTAAGTGAAAGCATACTATTCCTTAGTTACAAGAAGAATCAATTAAAAGGCATGCTGCCTCTCTCTCAAGTCAAGGAAGTTTATCTGTAGCTGTAAGAAACAGCTACTGTTGACTAGAGGCAATAATTGAAGAAAAAAATATCAGGTAGCCCAGCAAGACTCTTATATCACTTAAAATATTAAAATAAGAGCTCCAAGCAAAATGCAGGTATGAAGTGCAGGTAAACACTGAAGTGTACAGGAACGCTGAAATCAGACCTGTGGTCACAGACACAGTATCAGCTCCATTCTGCACTACACAGAGTATCAAAGTGTCCAAGGGAATGTGAGGACCAATCTCCAGTTCTGCTAACTGAAGAGATTCTGGAGAACTGCATGTGAAAAACCTGTGCATTACAGAACCAGAGTGCTAAGACAATATGAAAAAGGAATGTATTTGTTTGCCATTTTGGTGGGTAGTATTGATGTACAGTTCGATAAGCTTCATAAGCCACGTTTGATAGAATAAAGTAGCTTTATTCATCAGCTTTGGCTGGCTGTATATGCAATTGCTGGGTAAAGCAGATTTGCTTTTTCTATTTACTTCAGAGAAGCAAATACCTATCTTGGTCAAATTTCTTAGCTTTTGTAGCCTGTCTGCAGATGACAGTAGATCTCTAAAGTTAAAGCACTCAAGTAAACTCCAAAAAAGAGCATCTGAGAAGTTCTGAGTATTGTTTTAATGTTTTTGATCACTGTGATATCTAGTTACAGAACACTAAATTTCATGGCTGCAGAATTATTTACTTATTTATTTTGTACAAAACTCTGTTCTATATAGCACTGTGTCATTTATCAGCATTATTTATGGACATGCTTCTTTTTCTTAGTTTCTATTTCACTCTAGTGCTTGAAGTGCCTAAAGGTACCATACCGTATACAATAACATGAATAACTGCAATCTATAGTGAAGATACGGACAAGCATATTCAAAATGATTGCCTAACATTACACTTCTTATTTGTGCAACTAAGTTAAACAATGGAATTTCGTGGTCACTACTCGGCATTAAAATGAAATTTAAAAAAAATTACTTAAAGCATCAAATTACCTAAACATCAAATCAGAAGCCCAATTTTATGCATTCCAAGGATCACCATTTACCCTGCTTCCAGTTGCTTTGTGCCACTTAAAAGTAAGACGAAAGCTGCTCTAAGAAAATTTCTCAAGAATTGCTCAGTTCACGAAATAGAGAGGAGACCTTTTGCTGCTTCCTAATACACAAAGGTTATTTGCATTATGTCTAAAAACAGAACTATGTTATTCCACATCTTTTTACGTCTGTGAAAATATGGTACATACTGTTAATGTCTTGCTCGCTATTCACTGCTTGCAAATCTGCACACTACTTAGCTCCAGTTAGAAGCATATATAGAGATATGAGACATGTAGATGACATCTGCATCAAAATCAGCTTTTAAATTACTATTTTAAATCAATAGAGTAAAAATGATTTACCAAAACCAGGGAGAGAGAGAGAGAAATGTTCATTCTTTCCATATGAAATTAAGTAAAAGCCTGGAAATCAAGACATATGTAAAGACTCTGATAAGTTTATGATGATAACAAGAAGTCCGTAGCCTTTTTCTTGAATAAGAACTGTAGTATCTTAAGTCACTGACTCCCAAATGTCCAGTGTCTATCAAAATACAGACAAGGAAAAAGTAGCTTTAAAGCAATATAGGGGACTATAGCTTACACCTAAGATTCGTATTCAAAGGATTCTTAGCATCACTTTTATCTATGTTCTCACAATTAAAAACTTGTTCTTAAACACAACTGCTGTGAGTTCTAATAAGATATATTTGATCAGTGAATATACTTGTTTTACAATAATGTCTTATTGTTCAGAGCTTTTTGCAAAGACAGGTCCGATTCTTTTGAAGAATTTGACTGAAAACCAGCAGAAGGTACATGACTTGTCTGTGGATTCAGAGGCCTAAATGTTTACATTTCCCATCCAGAAAGAAATCATTTCATCTTGATCGTTTTTGCAAATGCCTATATATATGGTCTTATAAAGACAGAAAAGGACCAGAAAAATTTGTTAAACAGTAGACTCACCTTCACCGCCAGCTGTCTGCTGTTGAATCAAAGTCACTGGAGATCTAACTGGGGATTTATTTAGTGGATGATGCCAACTCGTAGATATTTTATTTCTTTCAACTTCCACTGACTGAAAAGGAAAAAAACAAACTAATTCAGTATTCAATTCTGAGAAGTTAATTTTGATGAACAAAAACAATCTTCCGTAAAGAAGCAGAGATGTCAATTCTGTAAATATTATCAGAGTACTTGAAGCACTTTTAGTGTACCAATATAACATTTGTTTCTAATTCAGAATATATACTTTAATTAAAAAAGAGCAATCTTTGTCAAACACAAATGGCTTGAGGTATAAGTTACTGCAGACCTCCCCAAATTACAGAGCATAAATCCTGGTTTACTCAGGTGATGTTTGAGAGGAAGAACAGCCCAAATAATTCTGCAGAACCAGAAGTACCATACAGCCACTAACTGTGGCTGGGAAAATGAGGCAGAAAATCACTGAATTCCTTTCTGAAAGAGTACAAAATTCCTGAGGAAGTAAAAAAATTACCTGAAGCTGAGGTAAGAAATTGAGTCCTGATAAGCGAATAGCATGCTGATTTGTGATATGAGGAAATTCTTTCCTTTCTCAAGCACTCTATGTACATTCTGCTCAAAGTTATAAAAGCTTCAAGAACTAAAGCCAACACTACCAAGTCTAGAAGTGCAGTTTTCACAACTCCAGATTTGAGTGCCACTAGGGGAATGACAAAGTACACCAGCTAGTGATGGTATCTGGATGCTCAGGAGCAAAGGCAAGCATACTGAGAGAAGAGTGGGAAGAACAGTCTCACACGATTCCTACAGACCACAGCATTCTGCTCCTCAGTGCCCTGAATCTAACCTAGCAAGTTACACACGTGCCTCTTGACTGATCTGAGGGTTGAAAATTACTACTATAAAATGGGAAGTAAATTACCAAACAACATCATATTTACTGTGATAAGCAGGGGAAAGAAGTTGTGTTTAGAGAAAAGGACAGGTTTATGATCTAGAAAAATTTACCAAATAAGTAAAAAGGGAAAGATCATCAGACTTTTTAATGGCATTTGTACAACATGCTTCTTTGTTTAAAAGAGAAAGAAAGAGTCTGTAATTATACTGGAGAATATCTGAAACCTCATATATAAATGTCTGAAAGGCACAGAAAGAAATATAATCTCTAATACATGATGATTAAAACACTGAGAAGTTTATAGTGCTCATTATTACATTGGAAGGGCTGGAGACAAAATTATTAAAACTCACAACATTGCAAAAAAAAAATCATCAGTGCACGGTTCATGTCTGTGAAAGGGTCAGCATGATTTTACTTTGGCTTCTAAAATATATTTCCCACTAAATCTGGCAATCTGGCAGTGGATTTCCTGGTCTCTCTGCTAAACTGGGATTGAACTCAAAACTAAGAAAGCTACTGTGACCACCACCACAGCTTAATTTTTCATTATGCTTCCTAAAGTCAAAGCTGCCCAACCTTCACAGCAGAATAGCAAGAGTAAAAAAAGTCTGTAAGTTTGTAGGTGCTCCAATGAGAAAACATTATTAAACCTTATGCTGACATTTTACCAGCATACTCTTAATTCTCCTTAAAACTCAGTCAAAACAGCCATTTTTTATAAACACAAACACATGATATCAAATACGGCATCCATCTCTAATAATTTCAATTTCACGTCAATAGCAATAATTAAAGCTGATAGCCTTGCTCATACTAGCAGGCAGCAAACATATGAATAGCTTGAGAATAGTTGCTAACAGTTCAGATTAACAGATATAAAATGAAATTACTAGATATCTAAAATTAGAGGGAAAATATGTCAACAAGCAAGCTCCAGAAACATTCTGCTTTCAGATCCAAATACCCACTATTGCCTGAACACTTCAAAACGTGTTCAAATTTGCATGTGATTAAAATCATGCATATTCTTAAGTGCTTAATGGGGATATCAGGTCTCATTAGAAACATGTTCATTCACATTCCATTATATCAGGAATATATTACTGTATATATATATATATATAAAACAATGTGATTTGCTTCACATACACTGGATGTTTCCATGCAATCTTCTTTAGCTTTTTTTACAACAGGCAATTCTTCATGTTCCATGCTACTTCCACAGCTTTCTAGGTTGCTGACACCATCCTCTGATGAGACATTTTCATCTTTATCTGGGTTTTCTGCTTCAGAAGTTTGTCCCTCTGACTTATGGTATGGTATGGATGAAATAGACTCATCCTGAGATTTCAAACTCTCTTCTTTCCTACAGCTATCAGAAGCGAGCATGCAGGCCACAGAATCTCCAAATGTAAAGAGAGGTTGACTGGAATCTGTCATGTCCTCATCTTCCATTATTATTTTCTCTTGTACAGGAACAGGGCTCAAAAATGAGTCTGAATGGATGCTTCCTATAGATCAAAAATATGCTTTGTTAATAAAACTCACTTTATACTACTGTATTTCATTTCACAACAGTCCGAATTATTCAAAGCATGGTTCCTCATTTAGAAATCATACAGAAAAACATCTGGTAGGAGGACATACACAAATGTGGAATACAGGTTTGATCAAAGAATAAATTAAATGTAAATGTTTTGAGTTTGGAGTGTGAAATATAGTTTCAGTAATTTAACCAGTATTTTGTATTTGAATTACAACAGGTCGTGTCATTCAAAATAATAAATATTCATGTAGCTTGTTTACTCTGACAGCCCACAAGCACTCTGACTAGTTGAAAAAAAAAACTATCAAAGGTTGGTATATTGAGCTTTATACCCTCCATTTATACCTATTAAACCTGTTTTAAAAATGAAAGTAAACAAAGACTAATGGTTTATAATTAAGAAGATATATTTCAAATAGATACCAAGAATATTTTAAAAACAACATAATCAGTCTAAAAATGAAAAGCAATTAGCATAATTTTATATTTCAACAATTAATATAATTTTATATTTAAGTAATGCTGAAGAGTGAAATTGTGTGGATTTTACTTTATTAAAATTCTTCATCTGCTGATGCTTGCATGGCATAGACAGAACAATAGGTTAGAGAGGTCACCCAAAAAATATGTTTCTGAAGAACTCTATGGCAGACACCACAGTGAATTTTGATTCAGCAGCTCATCCAAGGCATTAAAGAAACAGCCTCTGTAAAGTCCCTTCCCATTTTTTTCTTTCCAATGGTTATTTGAACTTGTTTTTCTGAAAAAAAAATTTCAGGTCAAACAAATATAAAATTTAGTAATACAGAGCCCACGCAATACCGAGCCACAGTCTCTAAGTGCTAAGAGCACTGCCTTGACTGAGTGTAATGGATGTACTAATGGACATACTATAGAGATAATGTAGGACAACCAACCATCTCCTATGTGAGCAGTGGAGCTTCCACCATCATACCTAAAAAAGGTCCTTTTCCCTACTAAGGTCCAGACACCACCCTTTAACAGCACAAAGGAACGAGGATAGCACTCCACTCCTACTTTTCCTTCATTGTCAATGAACACAAAATGGCTGCTAACTAAATACTAGTTTCTCAGTGGTCACAAACACTCCAAACCTCTATTAAAAGTCACAGAAAGCTGTAAAGGAATAGTGCCTTTAAAAAAAAAAAAAAAAAAAAAAGTCATAAGAACAGACCTGTAAAGGCTTTGATAGAGCAGCAACTAATTTGTACACAGGAATTTCTAAACCTCCATATTGGAATACGCACTTTGCTATCTTTATGTGGATCTATCCTGATGTTTACTATCTCAAAAAAAAAACATTAACATAACCATTAATATTCACAACCAAGGAAATTCTACACACAATTTGCAAGTAAATTTTCAGTATCAATATAAAACCAAATGGGACTGCTCACAAACTTAAAACTGAAGTTTGCCTTTCTGAGCAGGAATATGAAACTGCACCTGAACTACAATGAAATGTGAAATAGGAGAAATAAAGTCCAGAATAGACCAAGCATATTAGTATAAAATATTTGTGGGGAAAAAAAGAATCATCTTTGTCTTGACAAGGCCTTTATAACTTTCATTGTCAGACAGCTCAATAGGAAGTTACAAGTAATCTGCAATCTCAAAATAGAGCATTTTTGTGCACAAGTATAGACCACTTTAATATGCAGCATTCTTTATGTAAATACACATAGCATACTACAAGCATGTATGTTCTGTACTGTTTGCATAAGTGTTAAGACATGCTGTAACATTTCTGTATCAAAAACATTTTGCTGTAAAACTTATCAGTCTATTGAAGAAATATAATTTACAAAACCTTGTACTTTCTGCCCCTTTTAAAAACACTTCAGTAAACAGTTTAGGTGATATTACTCTTAGCTCAGAATATTAATTTTCCATTTTCTCATTCTTACTGAATATCAATCTTCTCTGCATAACTTTATATGTAGGTATTTTAGCATGCTGCTTAGGATAACACTATGCTTTAACATCCACTGATTCGTGGCATTAGAGTATCAACAGGCTACAACTTACATGTGAAACATAATCAGTCTTTATCTCACCTGCAACCTTGACGTTATCCAATAACTGTTGATCCAGCTGCTTTCTACTACTGTTTTCTTCTTCCCCAGAAGGCACTCCTGTGTTTACCGGTCTCACTTTTTTTCCAGTGACCTTGAAGCCATCAGTAGCTGCTTCAGTTGCTATGATTTCTGCACCAGCTTCCATAGCAGATACTCTCTTGTCCTCTGGAGTTTTAGGCTTTTTAGATTGAAATCTGGTGTAATGGGAGCTGTTATAAGAGATATTGCTGTCAGAATGTCTGTCTTGGATAAGATAAAAAGTCTACCAATATATATGTCCCTTTCACCTGCTTAAAGTGGTAAAAAACTGACAATTTTTCACCTTTTTGTGTTGAGATAGAGTTTACAATTTATTAAGTGATAGACTAACAATTGATTGGATTTAACCTTCTAATCTTTTATCACCATTCTACAGTAAAGTTATTAAACTGTAAAAGTAAAATAACCTCAAGTAACTATTACTTAACCAGCATCCAAACTAGTTTTTTAATGAATGAGTCTTTTGAGCCTCAAAGAGAATAACCCTTCTAAAAGAAATGAAGAAAAAACATTCTCAGTTGCATTAAAATCAGGTTGCATTTCCAAACCTCAATGCTAATGAAACACTAGTCTGAATACCCTTGTAAAATCAGATCTGTTTAGATATCTTAGAAGTTTTTATATGCATTTTAACACAAACAACAAGCATCTGAAAGAAAAAATTCCAATCACCAAATATTTTGAATGGCTACAATATTAAGGCCATTTCATAATTTCATAATGCTGTATAAAACCAAAGTTGAAATTAAAGATTCAGAGTAAGTTTTTGCACCCTCAGAAGTAGAAGGGAAAGGTAAAAGCAAGAAAAATGGCATCCTCTGTCAGAAACTGGTTTGTAATTTATGTGCTTGGGATAAAAATAACAGATTAGCTACCTTTAGTAAGAGATTAGTCCAAGTTCAAAATTCAACTATGTGACACAGGAGGAGAATTTTACGTGCTTCATCACACATAAGGTTTGAAAACTCGTAACACACTAGTAATAAAAGCCCAACTACGGCAAGGTAAAACAGGAGTTTTACAAAGGTCTTCAATCTTAGAATATAGACAACTCCAGAAAAAAAGTTTTGCTACCCCTTACATTTTATCCTGTGTCCATCAATGTATATCTTTCAACACCCTCTCTATAAAATAGTAATTTCCAGAAAATTTGCCGAAGTATAAGATGCCCATCAGTTCACATTGTAATATAACAGCAAGTATTATTACTGCTTACATGCAACCATTTGATGTTCTATTGTAGCAAAGTATTGCAGCCATAAATGTCAGAGTTAAGCTCTCCCTCTCACTATATTCATGAAGATTTCCACAGATTGCGTTGCTATTTTGACTCTGCTGGAACTTGTATTATTCCCATAATCAAAATGACGACAATTTCAAATCGACACATTAAACTAGAAATGAAGCTGAATAAACATTTTATCACCCCTTTGCAATACGCATTGTTACCATGCCTGTACAAAAGCCAACTCAGGAATTAAACAGCATTGGAACTGTGTTTATTAGATTAGCTAACTGCATGAAATCAGCCCACGTGTTCCTGTAATAAAACTTTCAAGAGATTTATTATAAAGTCTTTGTTTTTAGTTAAAACTGACTACCCATTAGGTAGCTGGTGGACAAAGTGTGAACTTGTAGTTACAGTGTACAATACATAGAATGAAACTTACTACAGGGCAAAACTGCATTCAATTAGCTAAACAGCAGAATTACTCTCTCTCTGTGTCCAGGTTAATGTTATACACATACTAACAAATTGGCTGTCCAACTGCTTCACTGGTTGTCTTTAAGAACTGATTCTACCCCACAAATGACTGTTACCCCAGAACAACCCAATATTGTATTTCTCAACTATAAAGTTCCACTATAGTGGCAGTTGGTCCTCTTCTTTACAGGTTGACTTTCCTACCATTTTCCTCACAAAATACATTAACTTACCAAGAAAATCGAGAAAATTAGTTTAAGAGCAAGTTTAAAAAGTAACAATATTGTAAAATGATTTGAAGGAGCAAAAAGGACTTAAAAAAAATCTGTATTATCTTAAAACTGCACTCTGCAGTAAGCAGATACCAATAGAACTGGCCACCTTAGGCTAGAAACTACGTAGATCTTTATTAATAATAAAGAAGAAAATCCATACAGAACCAGTTAAGTAAAACAGGATAGCATTAATATAGAAAAAATGCTTGTGCAAGGCAAACAAAAAACACAATGCACACCAAGAAAATAGATCCAGCTATGAAACAGCTTTAATATGTCAAAGCTTTAACAGCTTCAGTGGCAAGTTGAGAAACTTTTTGCTCCTGTCAGTGGTGTCAGTATCAACAACTGATATTTAGGCCTTCCTTATGGCAAATTATGATCTGTGATTGACCTGTGGCAGACACAGAGAGATTTCAGCTGCCATACTGTGAAAGTGTGCTAAATTTGAGTGAGATGGCAGTGAGGACCGAGACTATTGCTAGAGACTCCACACAGCTGTTGGGATTCCACCACAGCTTCATGGTAAGTTTTTCCAATTTAACCTTTACCTCAACTCTTAGAAGACTTTTTCCTTGTATTTTGGTTGTAGATGTCACTGGAAACAATGGCAACCATCCACACCTTGAAAATTTCAATCCTACTAAAGAAGGATTCTAAATACCACACTGGAATGCACTTTGATGCTCTCCATACTCATTAACTGCAGCTAGACATATAACTTGTAAATTGAATTAATTTTTCATAGTCAGTGTAAAAAAAAAGACTTGCTTTTCCCCAAATTCATCTTAACACAGAAAAAAAGGAAAACAAACCTCATGTAAAGTGAATGAATTCAAATAAACCATCAGAGAAAGTGGCAAAAAAGTAACAATAAGAAAATTGACATCATATTAAAGATAATTAAATAGAGGATAAAGAAACATAAATACCATTTGGGAAAGTTCTTTATTTTCTCCCTTCTTTGTAGCCAGGCCTTTAGTTCAGGTGTTGATTCAGGCATTGGTTTTGTATGATCTATGGTGTATATATCCTTGCCTTGTTTCCACAGCTGGTATCTGTTTGGTTGAAACGTCTTCACAAAGATGTCCATGGATATTTTCACCATGTCTCTCCTGCAAGTGCACTGCAAGAAGACAGGAATTTATAACTGACAATGGAATATGCTGCAGTTTGCAGTAAAGAAAGTCCAAAATAAAAACCCCATATGTGAAAACAAACTTTTCTTGAATCAACATTTTTCTTTTCCACTCTTCCTCACTTCTTCAGCAGATACTGTCTACTGTCTGAACAAATGTGACACACTAGCATTCCACAAAATTACTTATGGACACTCCATTGATTCATTAACTGCTACAGTTTAAGACCAAAAGGAAACGATAGCATCTCTTTTTGTTCTATTAGCTGTCCTTGATAGCTTTAAGCATCATACCATGTTGAACCCAGTGACAGCACCATCTTTAGTGGTCTCGCAATTTTCTTTTTAAAAATAAGTTATATAGTATCCACCAGACCCAAAGGTCTTTACAGGCATATACAGTCCTAGCTTTTAACTCTTCAAAACAAAATGCGAGTACCATATCAAGTTACACTTTTACCCAGGACTTTCTACAAAGCAAGAGAGGGAAATATTATGTTTAAGAAGACTGTGTTATAAACATGTAATCTGAAGTTCCATGCAATGCAGAACCTAAAACCTCATGCAGTACTTTTCTCATCATCTTCGCTCTAGTCCCTCTTTTTAGTCCCCAAGAGAATTTCTGAATTGTTTTGCTTTACAAATTATGCATAGGAGTGGAGTATTTTAGATTTCTTTGAATAAACTCTTAATGATGATAATGAAAATGCAGAGGAATCTTCATCTGGAATACTGCAGATGGTGAGACAATTTTCAGACTAAAGTTACTGTACCTAATGCTTCAAAATACTTCATATCAGGAGACTGCAATAAGCAAATCAATATGCCTACAGCATAAACTATTGTGATGGGTTAAACCCTGTCTGGCTGCCAGTTGCCAACCAACCTGCTCTCTTATTCCCCCTCCTCTGCAGGACAGGACGAGAAAATAAAATGAAAAAGCAAATGAGTTAAGATAAGGACAGGGACATCACTCAACAATTGCCATCACAAACTCAACTGGAGGAAATTAAATTTATTTATTGTCAATTAATAACAGATTAGGATAGTGAGAAATAAGAACAAAAACTTAAACCAGCTTCCCTCACCCCCTTTATTCCCAGGCTCAACTTCACTCCTGACTCTGGTATCTTCAGGGCTGTTTCTCACATTTTCCTCACTCCTCTCCCTAACAGCTGCTGCACGGTGGTTTTTACACTTTCTTAATATGCTATCACAGAGGCACCATCAGAATCACTGTTGGGCTTAGCTTTGGGCAGCAGAAGCTTCATTTTGGAGCCAGCTGGACCTGGCTGTGTGACATCTGAGCAGCTCATGATCCCTTCTCACAGAAGTAGAGTGCTGCAGCTCCCCTACACTACCAAAATTTTGCCATGTAAACCCAGTACAATTACTCATATTAAAAGCAAATTGACTGGCTAAAACATAAAACAAAAAAACATTTAAAGAACTTAGTGCTACAGCTAAATAACTCTAAGGGCAAAACTGTGACAGTATTTGCTTTCAGGTAAACAGAGATAGATAAATAAAGAAACCTGGTAAATTCATGGCCTGACTTTGTTTTTCTACAGCTACTTTTATCGTCCCTTTTAAACAAGGATGGTTCTTAATCGCAGAAAAGTTGAAACACACAAGGGACTGAACACAACCTTTCTACTAGCTAGCTGTGTGCTGGATGCAAATTTCTTTATCTGCTATTTCCACATATCATTTCTAGTCCACCCTTCTTACTCTAGAAAATCATAAGATATAAAATTAAAAAAGAAGGCATCCGAGATGTATTAAAAATGCTTTCTTCCATTTCAATATGACATTAGTACCCTGTATGTTCACAACAGTGCCCTCTAATGGGAGGTGCAATAGAAAGAAAAAAAGAAATCAACATAGAAATTGTAATTTTATGCAGCTGTCTTTAATGATAGTTTTTTACCCCAAATACGATCAGAATTTTCATTTTTCAAAAAACATGTATATATGTAGATATACACACATTCTGTAAAAGACTTAACCTTATCTCAATTATTTGAAATGTCTCATTCAGAGACTACTTGATCAGTCACAATGAACAGTAACAGAAAAGTAATTATGATACTTCTGTATACCATATGCTGTATAAAGGTGCATAGATAATCCACTGTAGTATTTTTAACTTTCATAAATGAAATTTGTAACATAAAGGCAACCAACGCTGGATTTTCTCTCCATTTACATGCAAAATTCTTTCACATTCAAGCCATGTTGCTACACACCAATTAGAAATTGTTAAAGCAAAAATTTGTGATTACTGCTTTTGCTGTTGGACACCAAGACTTCCAGTGGTTTGGAAGAAAATAATTATTTAAACCATCATTGAAGTATCAAAGAAGAAAATACATCAAGAAATAAAAAGTATTCTATGATGTTATGAAAAGACTCAAAATAAACTATGTCTAAAAAAGGTACAGAATTCCTGTCTTTCAATAATCTTTGATGAGTTTCCACTATATTTTATTAGAACTACTGCAAATAATTAAAAATTAAAAAAAAAAAAAATGGGAAGGTATTAAAAATATCATAGAATTTTTTAGAAGTTTTAAAACTTTCAGAAACATATATTTCTGGGTGAAAAGTAATGGAGAAACACCATGGTCAACAGTATTACTGCTTCCCTGACAATACAGAAGACAGGCCTCTAGGCACTAGAGGGTAGAACTCTTTGGAAGTACCATATAAGACGACAACAGATATGTTCTGAAAACAGTATCTACTCATATTCCCTAAAATAAAACAAGAAAAAATATAATCTGCTGCTTTGATAAATAATCTGGAGGATTTTTTTGTTCTTGGTGAAGGTAGTGGTAATGTTTTTTAATGTTTTTTCTCCATTTCCTATTTGACTGACTTGTAGCTGACAGTTATACGGCTTCCTGCTCCCAAGACAAAAAAGTTACTGAAAGATTCTCTCTGAAGCAAAACTAAATGTCATTCTGTGGAAGAAACCTCTAAGGACAGACACAAAAGGGACATGCCACTGTCTACTAAAATATTCAGGGTGATACTTTCAAGGATCACAGTAATTTTGGAAGTATCTTTTAATATTTTGTAAGTAAATGCAAAATCAAAAAGTTGCTGGATTACCATGTAAAATACAGCTGATGTTGCCAGAGATAATCATCACAACCTTTTCACTGGAAAGAATTATTTTCTGTATGCGGTAGTATTAGTCTGATACATATTCTTCAATCAAAGATTAGTATGACAATCAGAATACTTAAGGGAGCAGAACTTTCACAATTCTTTGATATTACTATTAACATCATCAGTGTCACCAATTCTCTTATTATTATTTATCCTATTATACAGATACAGTTTGGAGGTAAGCAATACAAATAATATTTATTTTACTATTTAATTTATTTTATTTTTATTTTTATTTTATTTTATATTTATTTTATTTATTATATGTTTATTTTATTATTTTACTAGCTGCAAATCTTTATAGCAATGATTTGGACGAAAAGTCTGTCAGCTACTTTAACTAATTGGTATAACTAAATGTGAGATATTTGTAATATGAGAAAATTACCTAGGAGAGACATACTTGGATAAAAGAATTTTTTCTAATACTTGCTATTTGTGAATGGGAAAAAAAATATTATTATGTACTTAAAAAAAAAAAGTTAAAATCTTCCCAGTTTGGATTGTGATTCAGGAAAATTTAAAGGAATACAACAAGCTTGCAGACACTCATATTAGACAAATACTTAGGCACTTTTTAAAATAGGAGCATTTTTCTCCTAATTGCTCCCACTGAGGTAATCATAGAATTAATGTTTTGATCAGAAGCACACTGACCTACTAGCATCTATGCCAGTACCTAATGTTATAAATAATGGAAGATTTGCTTTTAATAAAAGTAATTAAACAACTACTTTTATTGAATTAGGCTAAAGGTGTTATTAAATTAGCATTGTTAAAATTCTAAAAGTTAAGCAAGCCTTTTCTGATCACAAATTAGGCATATGGTTGGGCATTGTGTGGAATTGGACAAGCAATAGGAAGGGGGGGTGGTCTGTGGTTAGGTATCGTGTAAAGGGGAACCTGGATGGGAAGGGCCGGGGAAGAATGGAAGCCAGCAGAAAAGAAAGCGAAGAAGAACTCCTGATGAAGGCGAACCTAGACTCCGCCGCCTCCCCTCGCTCCCCCCATTTCCCTCGCTCCCCCCCATTCCCCACCGCCCCACCCCCATTCCCCACCCCCACACACACCCGCACACACACACACACACACACCCCCCCGCCAACCCAGCCCCCGAGGGCAGTGGAAAAGTACTGAGACAGACAGACAGCCTCGGAGAAACAAAGCGAAAGGAGCTGCGCAGGTGTAAAGAGGAGAACCCCCACCACTTTCGCTTAACCAGTGAAATCTCCTGTTTTCTCTATAAAAAAAGAAGCCCCTGCGGGGGCGGGGGCCGCGCCACTGCGCCCAGCGATGTATTCTTTGCCACGCTGACTTTGCCCTCGAATAAAACTTTTTTTTTTTATATACATGAGCTTGTTTCTTACGCTAAGAACAACTCCTAAAAACGTTTTATATCATTAAGAATCAAGTACATGTCTTAAGTACCTTCCTAATACTCCATCATTAATATTACATTCTTTCATCAAACAGAATCACTGGACTTTTAAAATTAACATAAAAATATTCACTCTGTAGAGAGTATCATATTTTGCTGCAACAGAAAACAAACAGACAATTTATCTTATTATTTGACTAGAAAATGGGGAGTAGTATTCCTTAGAACCACAGTTCTAAGCACAGAAATGTATATCCAGAGTCAAGCCTTTGTGATTTGCATTTTTCTCTTTTACTTCAGTGAAGGTTACCTGATGATGTACCTTCTAAAATGTGAAATTATGTCTTTATCCATGAAAATATCTTCTCAGCCTAAACATCAGTTCATACACTACAGTGTTACAACATTTAACACAGTAAGTTTAAAACATCTG